ATATTGTAGCTCCCACAGATTACTAATGAGTGCTGAAATGTTTCAGAAATTCAAGCTATAAGCTCAAAGATAGGTATGTTCGGCGTCAACGTTAAGCATCTGAAGACACCTTGATGGAGGGTGATAGCCGAACAATCCAGGAATTGGCAGGCAATGTGGTCTATTATTGTTAAACCATCGAATAAATGGATTACATATTCAAAAATTTAGAATTTGGGAGACACATGTCTTAAGTATGCGAAAAGACGAACGCCGCAGCGGCAAAGCCTTGCTACGCCAATTTCTGCAAAACTGGTATTAAACTGTCAGTGAAGGGGAGTGGGGAATCATACACATTTTCAGTAGGTGCATAAGTGATTGATCAGTTGTTCTTTCTGTTGTCAAGTCTTTTGAATAAGTTTTAACACGGTACAACGGGAAAACTATGAAAGAAAAAAGATGTCGAAAATGGATTTTTTGCCTTCTCAGATTTTTCAGTTTGTAGTCAAATTTTTTGTTCATTTAAGAATTGAAAATAAAATAATGAAATTTTGGTAGAACAGACTTAAAGCTTCCGAACGCATCCTAACATTTTGCCAAACGCTTTGCAAAACATTGAGAAATTGAAAGAAAAAATTCGAACGAACTTATTACACAACCTAATAGTATCTCTTCAGTCTCGGACTTGAATCATGTAAATCTAATGGATTTCAATAGTTTGACTTTCTTAAGTTGCAAAATTCCGATGCTCGAAAAAGAGCGTTTTCCAGCTTTTCGAGTTAATCAACTTTATGAAACAACAAGTCTGTCTGGTTATTTCTACAAATTTACTGACGACTGCTAAGAAAATGCATGAAAGATGAATGCGAAAACCTTGCTATGCTTCCCATGAGACTGCTTTGTTTCCATTAACGAACTCATTAGCCATGATGTATTAATAGATTAAATTTCTGCCAGCGAGGATGAGAAAAAGTTGCGAAACATGGTAAATAAAAATTGGAAGCAAAAATTTTGCACCATCCACAAGCAATAAAACTACGCCTTCGTGCCTCTAATTAATAGTAATTGATGAGCTTTGTCATGGCAGAAATTCCATGTCATTTGTAACTTATTGTAGGGAAGTCAATGTATTCAGACATGCTATTGTAGCAAAAAGTGTCTTCTGGCACTTGTTAATTTAGTCCACCTCAGTAGTTAGCCCATTCGCAAGCCCCTTGTTTTCAAAATCAAGTATTAGGTTGATGCATAATTCCTGCACCAAAATAGGTACAGACCGCAATAACTCGGAATAATCCTATATCCCAAGTAGGATTCGATATATCATCTGATAGCGCAAACCTAGCTCTACAAGATATTGCTCAAATATCTACACCAGCTTTGATCCACGCGAGGTTTTGAGCCAAAAACTGAAAAAAACCATGCGTCCGAAAACCTTAAGACAGATCTTAAAAAAATTGTAACTTCGTTCAAAAAGCTCATACAAATTTTCTTTCTTGCTCATGCGTAGACGTTCCACGTAAGACATTTATCTATACGGTTGCTGTATTTTTTTCTCAACTAGCCGATGAGAAAACGAAGTTTTTCATGTTTTTTCCAAAACAATGCTGAGATGTTCTAGCACTGACAGTTGTATACTATAGGACCTTAGAAGCGTGAATGTGAATTTTCAGCTCTTTAGAGCAGCTGGTTTACGAGAAATATCGGATTTTTAGCAACTAGGCAAGAAAAATTTGGATAAGGAGAGCTAGATTCGTTATTTCTCGCGAACTAGCAGTTCTAGAAGGCTGAAAATGTAAAGTTTCACTGCTAACGGCATGTTCTATACAACTGTTGATACTAGAACATCTCAGCACTAATTTGGCAAAAACATGAAAAACTTCAAAAAACTTCGTTTTTTCATCGCCTAGTTGAGAAAAAAATACAGCAACCGCATAGATAAATGTCTTACGTGGAACATCTACGCGTGAGCAAGAAAGAAAATTTGTATGAGCTTTTTGAACGAAGTTACAATTTTTTAAGATCTGTCTTAAGGTTTTCGGACGCATGGTTTTTTTCAGTTTTTGGCTCAAAACTTCGCGTGGATCAAAGCTGGTGTAGAAATTTGAGCACCATCTTGTAGAGCTAGGTTTGCGCTATCAAATGATATATCGAATCCTACTTGGGATATAGGATTATTCCGAGTTATTGCGGTCTGTACCTATTTTGGTGCAGGAATTATGCATCAACCTAATACAATGCTGTGAAGCAGTGAAGTTTCCTTCTAATCATCTTGCAAAAAAGTCTTCACCGTCCACAGCATGTTTCCTCTTAATCCATTACACACTTCTATCTTGCATTAGAGAGTAAGCAGAATTAACTCACTTAGGAGCAATTTAATCTAAGGCATTAAATTTTTTTTCAAGATTTTCTACAAAAACCTAGCTTAAGTCCCTTTGCAGTTTCTAACTTCAAAAAAAATGCACATTGCGTGAGTGAAATAGCAACGGCTACTTTGTCGCTTGCAAATATTTTGAAGGATGTTTTCTTGAACTGCAAATAATAACTTCTCCTCAACGACAGTTCGGTTTTAAGCTTTAATAATGCTATGCTGATCTGCAGTAGCGGCATGCTGAATGTATGTAGCTTGAGTTAAATGAGTAGCGAGAAAGCAATGAGAGCAGTAAGAAACTAAAAAAGATCTGAAAAGAGCTTTACTGGGCGACCTAGGACCTTAGACACTTTGGATAGCAGGATCGAGCTTAATCTCTTCGGAAAGTCGGAAGTGTTCAGCTGGCCTCTTGTTGCTTGGCCATGAAGAGAAGTGCAGATCCTCCTTGGATATTTATCTCTGTTTGTTCAAATACTCCGACGATCTACCGAAAGATATGATTACCAATTAGTACAAAGTTCGCTAGTTGCAAAGCTGATCGAAAACACATTGATGATCAGAATCAACAACGCTACCTGACAAGCGCTGCCATACGGGAGTAGGCTTAAGGGGGGGGGGCTAAAATTAGCTTGGCTCGGATTACACAGCTATCACTCTCGTTCTTTGTATATATTCCAGAAAACAGTGAGATAAAATTGCCTTTGTTCCATTAACTTCGCTCATGTGTTCATGTAATATCATGACATTAGATACAACATTGCAATGCTGTCAACAGGGAAATGGAGCGGAAGGTTGAAGCTACCCAACACGCTGTAAGTAAGAGCTTACTAGCGTCAGACCAAATCATGGCAAATATTAGGGTCTTTCGGATACATAGACAACACGTCAAAATTGAATCTCCGTTTGTATGATGAGTTGTTCTTCTATAAAAGTGAAATGAATGCATTAGCAACTCGATCGCATGTTTTCTTTGCACGGAAGCTTACAGGAAGGGCCTTCTCAGATCTTGGATGTGTCTTTGAAGCTTGCTTAAAAGCACCGTCCACCCAAATTGAGGGAGCTGAGATTTTGATGTTATATAGTAGCGGAGTTCCTTTCTCAGCAATCACTCAAGTCTCTCTGAAAAAGATCAAATTCGAGGCAAGAACCGCTCCAGAAATTGAAGCGGCCATGTTGGCCCTTCCTGTCATTCTGGGTGATCTGAAGATAACAAGTCCAAACTTGGATTTCGGAGTATTCAAAATTGCTTTAGACGCCCTTAATTATGATAAGCAAGTTAGCGACCTTGTCTAGTCTCTGGCCATCCACGTTGATGGGCGGAGCCAGCGTGGCCGCTTCTACATTCTGGAGCTGTTTTCTTGCTTTGATATTATTTTCTGCACTAAGAGGCTGCCTAGTTAAGGAGCCCGTTATTTCATGAAAATCTCATCAGCTTGAATTGGAAGGAAGGTGCCTTTGAAGGTGCGTTCGAGCTGTCCTAGAATTAAGCTATTCTCTTAAAAGGCGCAGAACAATGTTGCTCCTAAAGCGAACGATTGGAAACTGCTTACAAGGGAAGGTTACTTAGTGACCGTGGCCATTCATAATGATTATATATCAAAAAGTGCGTCTTTTGATGCTGGTTCGAAAACTGTCTTCCATATCTGCGAAACGATAACTTGGATGGAGTTATGATTATTTCCCAAGAATGAATTGCGCTACTGCGGAGGGTCAAAATCTTCAAATGCTAAAATTGGTAAACTTAAACAACTTTGGTGAATTTAACTACTCAAATGTACACGAATTTTCTATGAAAAAAGTTCATATCTTCTCTCAAAAGATGGTTTCGCAGATATCTAGCACAGATGTAGAATCACCGTTTTGAGATACATCTTATGGCATACATCGCATTTCAAACGACCACGGTCACCTAGTTTCCTTTCCCTGTTAGACGCCCCGTGGGTGGGCGTGTCCCAATCACCTCCTGAGCTTCCAACCAATTCCAAAGTGCGCATGGCGCACAATCATGATTATAGGGTCTAACAGCGTCCTGCTCTTCTATTGCAAATTTGCTGTCCCGAGGGGCATCTTGCGATCCAGCATATTTATAAGCCCAGGTGAGCGAAACAGCGGAAATATTTTTTCGTCAAAGGCAATGCTCTGAAAGGGGAAACCCTGAGATTTCCCAGACCCTCTCCTTAGAAGTATGTCGTCGTTTAACCAACTCATAGTCTTGGGCGTAAGTTGGAGCATGAATGCCGGTCCGGAAGTGATGCGAATCCTTCGTGTTCCGGACGTTGCTCCCCAATCCATTTTTGGGGAAGAGGAGGTTGCGTCATTGATAAGCCGCTTGCGGACTTCTCTCACGCACGGGGGCCATGTTACGTAGACAGGTGCGGTTTGTTGCATGTGTCCGCGCGGGACTTCTCCTCTCTTTTAGTGACGTAATGCACAGAAAATGCAATTAACTTGGAACGAGATTTTGTCGCGTAGAGGCACTTTGCCGTACTAGATGTAAATACCTCAGGACCCAGAGCAAATTTCAACACGCAGCTCACATCTGAGAGTACGCATGCCGTTTTTTTGCGTTGGAGAATCTTCTTCGTATGACAACCCCTCTGACAGATAATGTGCCAGTCTGCCATTTACTTTTAGTTGCACTGTGAAGAACTAACAATCTATTTATTTTTTAAAAAGCAGATGAAAAGCACTCAAAATGCAAAGCATGATATTCTCGAGCAAATAGTTGTATCATTGGTGAAAGAACTCCATTTAAGGATGAAATGACATGGAGCGACAGTGTTGTAGTAGTTGTTGCCTAAGCATTGCTTTGACGCTGAATGTGCGTGGCACGTTCCTGAAATTAAGGAGATTTTGATTCGCGTGGATGATTGAAGAGTTACTCTTGTAAGCTCACTTCTCCTTCCTTGTTGAAGAGAATAGTTTGTACCGAGTTACCAGATCCGAAAGTATCCTCCCCGTCGTAGACGAGCTGCTCAGGCGGAGAGGAGACACCTTGGTTGCGGGCGAAGATCTGCGAAATTTTTTAGCTCAAGTCCAAGTCTCGAATACTGTTTTGCTTTTATACCTTGACGCTTTTACCGGCACGCAACACAAAGTCCTTGGGTAGGGTGTACACGATTTCGCGCTTACCATCGATGCGACGCTTCAGCTTCCATTCGCCGATCGACTGGAAATGGACTGGTGTTGAAGTGAAACCGTAATTTTTGACTATGACCTACTTCGTCTTTGGCGCGATGGGTGTTCTGGAGCACTATGAACTTGCCATCGGGCGAGGCTTCCTGCAATGATGTACGTGTTGTCATTTACTTACATTAAAAGTAACACTTACATGGATGGAGACATTGCCTTTGGCCGACCTTTGGAATGATTGACGAGATGCAGTTTCTCCTTTGACCACTCTCATGGTCTCTGAAAATCAAGAGTAAGTTGTCGTATATGCGATCATTTGATGATTATTTTACCAGTATCAGTTTCTTGGCTGATGGCATGGGTCTTGACAACCTGCTCGACCAGCTGTTTGAGTCCGGCGCGGTTCTCTTCACCTTCCAACATCTTGCGGTAGATGGCGATCTCGGCATCCAGAGTCTATTTTGCCACTCATAAGCTATCATACCTGATCGAAACAAGTTCTAAGCTAACCTGTTTGGTGTCGAGGAGCATCTGAAGCTCCACCATGAGGGCTTGACATTCCTCGCGCATCTTACGAATCTGGGCATCACGATCGTTGAGGGCAGATTCGTATGAGCGCTGGTCGTCCTCGAGTTGGTAGTTGAGCTCTTGTATTTGTTTCTCGAGCAGGGAGTTCTGAAAATTATCTCGTTTCTTCAAGCAGCATCTTTTCTGACAAACATACCCTGCTCTCGAGATCGGCAAGTTTTCCACGAAGATCGCTAAGTTGGGTGCGTAGACGCTTCACCTCTTCCTTGGCATATCCGTGTTCCATGCTCTTAAACTGCTACTACATATACAGAATAGAAACATGTACCCAGCTACCTACCTGTCGAGCACTTTGAGTTTGGATTTCTTGCACTTTGAGACGATACCACGATTCCATATCGGTGCGGTGAACGTTCGTGATCTGGAGAAAATCTTTCATATAAACGAGCGAAGGTGTAGATACAGCTCTACCTGGTCATACTCTTCACGGATATCTCTAATGGCGGATGAAAGTTCGTTCTTGAAGAACTCGCGGTTTTCGGGAGTGGTGTCACGCGAGGCCAGTGTCTAAAAAACATTTGATATACATGAACTGGATGCAAATTTATTGTTGACGAGACCTGCAACTCCTTGATCTCGTTGTCATGAACGCGGCGCAGAAAGTCGATCTCTTCCAAAAGAGTCTGCACTTGGTTCTGGTAGTCAATGCGGTTCAGGGTTTCCTGATCAAGGTCCTGAAAATTGCTATTGAGAAAGAATTGTGCCAGTTGAGCATTAGAGACGAACCGTGCGTGCACGTTGAAGTTCCGAAAGAAGGCGCTGGTTCTCCTGTTTAATGCGTTTGACCTCGTCTTCAAGTTGAGCGATGCGACGTTTGAGCAAGTTGATCTCAGCCTGAATGTGATTTGCTCAGCAGACTCACAATTTACACGCAAATCAGAACGATGCACGGTAATTGGGAGGAACGATTTGCAGAAAGTGCAAAAAATGGAAAAGAAGCCGGTTCCAGCTGTGCCAACAAATCTAAGAGGTCAATCAATTCCAATTCTGTGAGTCTGTCATTTCAGTGGTTGTTAAAGCAAGGTCTTCCCTTCAAGTGTTACCCACGACAGCTATTGACACAGTCATGATTGAGGTGCGTCTTCGATATCAGAGTTTTTCCACTGCATTTAATTTCGTCCAGCAAACGTAAGAAGTGCCCGGCAATTTTTTTTCCTTTGATAATATCTTTACCTCCAGATTTGAAAGATGCACAAGCAGATCATCAATTTTGGCACGATCGGATTCTCGTCCTCGAACGGCGTCCTCATATCTAAATCAAAAGAATTTTTTAGGCAAAAATCGATAATTATCGAGGAAACACCGCGTTTTTTAGCGCGCCTATCACAAAGTGTTTCACACTGCGCAACATCTACAGTAGTGGCAATTACCGTAAATTGGCGAGTACATCAAGCAGAGATAGTCAACCGTAACAAGACAAGTTTGTTTGCTACTTATACGTTTTGAATGGCGAACGTAAAAGTCGGACGAGGACCGGTTTCTTTGAAAGGTTGCCTATAGGTCGTTGAACTGTAGAAAACCTACTTGCGGCGTAGTTCGGCTAGCTCGTCTTGCATCTTCTTAATCTGCACTTCCATATCTTTACGTTGTCGATTTGTTTCATCGATGAGCTTTTGAGCATCCTTGAAATTGGAAACTCAATCGAACTAGACTATTTATTGCAAAATTCATCTAAATTTAGCAAAGAATGCGAAGACTGAGTAGACGTCAAATTTTCAGTTATTTTGGTCCACTTTACAAACAGTTCTTGGAGCTATTCAGTTAGAATCTTTTGGAACTTTGCCAATATCTCCAGAACCAACCGAGAGTTCGCCTTCATACATGTTACGAATATTGTGTGTGTCCTTTCCCCATTTACTTCGAAGGGCATCAAGATCAGCGGCTAGCTTGCGATTTTGTGCCTCCAAAAAGCGGACCTGGAAGAAAAACGTTTCTTGGTTGATTCCTGTATTTGTATTCATTGCTGTGCCTATAGTAGCCAGGTATTCTGAACAGGCTATGATCTTTTAAAAAGTTTACCTTCTCGATATAGCTAGCCAAGCGATCGTTCAAATCGCTCATTTCTTTCTTCTCACGTTCGCGAGAGTCCCGAATCGTACTTGCAGCATTCTGCCCGAATGGAGATAACCCAGACCCTGCACCGGATCTCATCTCGGTGACGATCTTCAACATACGGTCTTGTGCTGAAAAGCGAAGAGTACGGTATAGTGCCTGAGGGACAATTTAGAGGAGTATCGCTTACAAACGACGTTTCCTGCCTGGCGACCACCCAGTGGTGCGCGGCCTCCCGGCTGGGTTGTGCTGTATGACATCGCTAGAAAAACGAATTTACATAAGAGTTAAGGAGGGCAAGGATCATTGAGAGAAGAAAGCAATGAGCTGAGAAGAAGCTCGACAGTGAGCTGTGCACGTATGGTGAAGAGTGTGCATGAAATTTGACACTGGTGCTAAGGTGAAGTCGCTGATGGGGCGGCACCGTTTGCAATACAGATTAGAGCCGTAGGACCGCTCTGCTCGCAGCTTTTCCTATGCTTTTCGCGAAAAGCACCATGCAAAGTAGCAAAGCGCACAAAAAGGCGAAATCGCTGAAATGCTAGGTGTGGAGCCGGAACTCACACGAAGAGAGAGGACTGGGAGAGTGATGGAGGAAAAACAGTGGATTGAGGGAGAACTGTTCGGGTGCCTCTGCCTTTGCAGAGAGTACAACCTTACACAGCAGTGTGTGAACAAAACAGGAATCGCTGGGGGACTCTGGTGTGTGAATACGTGACTGAAACGCATACTCGTCAATGAGGATTTGCAGAAATGTCGTTGAGGTGCGCGTGTGTCGAAGTGACAATGCGCAGGGAGCGCAACCAGAATTCTCGTCCTCAATTGGCATATTCATTTTATCGCGCCGAAACTCATACCGCGAAGCGCTCTGAGATCTTCGTATTCGTTCGTAACTCATCTAGCCTTGTGAATTTTGTGTGGCGCGCCAACACACGCTGTTCGAGTGCTGAATGTGACGTGGACACTATGAGGTGGCGTTCTCATTATGGATGTATCTGAATTCGATCGAATCTGTTACATCGATGTGGCTTTGGAGGATAATTGGGGCAGGTTGCTTCGCCCAGCTCTGGCTGGGAAGTTAATGCAGGGTTAAATGGAAATTAACGATGCTGCCAGGATAACTTGCGCAGAAAAAGTCACCAGCTTCTCAGCTTGGTTAATTAAAAGTAGCAAAATCAAGCAAAGGTCAAAGCTATAATGTTCTCAGAATAGTAGGTCAAGTTTCTTGTGGCATGAGAGGCTCCACAGCAAGGTTTTTACATAAAGAATTTAAAAGCTAACAATAACAAAAAAAGATGAAAAACTTTGAGCGACGTCAGCTAGGTGACGATCTTTGGCACAATGACACACTGTAACTATTGGATGCGTCCCTCAAAGGTACGCTAATGTTTGCCTATGCTGGTTTGTGTGTTTGCCAGGTTGCATGAATTGAATTCGAACCCATCGCGGTTTCAAACTAGAAGAATACTCGCATTTTATAGTGGAATTTTGCGAATTCAATAGTAAGCCTGTATAGACGTAGCAAAACTTGGGAGCACCTGTACTATACGTGAAACGATATGACGGATAGTTTTGTGATGTTATCACAGTGTTATTGTGTTGGCGTTTTGTCAACAATCATCAAAAGAACAAATGGACTCTGCGCTGAAGGTTTATTGTTAACAGCAATGGCTTTGGGTGGCTTTTTAGAAGCTGTTTCAAGATTGTCGCGCGTGCGCCATTTTCTTTGCCTCCACCGATTGCGCACCTCAGCGGTCGCGCGGCGCGCGATTACGATTGATGGATTAGATTTGCTCGAATCGGCCACAGAAAAGTATTCGCATCCTCAAAAAACTGATGAGAGGTTCGAGGCAATAGCAAGGCGATAGCGATTCTAGGTCAAGTAAACAAAAACTCTCATTCAGAAAGTGCGTTCCAAATACAGTAACAGGAAGGTCAGCACGTGCGGTGTATCAAGGGACTCGTGGGACTTCGAAGAACCTAGGCAGTCAAGAAACCCAGGGGGAGCGAAAAGGTAGAAAATCATAGAAACACAATAAAAATACGGGTGCACCTCACCACCATTTCTTAGGCTTCTCTGCACAACAACTGCATCTACAAAAATTACGTATTTACTCTTTTTGAAAACACAGTCGCAAGTTCATATTGGTGCTCCATATTATCCTAACTGCTGCAATATTGACTTTTAGAAAGTTAGTTCATAGTAAATTACTACTTGTTAGAGAACACAAATTGAAGTTGGTTACTCAAGTGTAGTTCATTTCTAGAGCTGTTAACTTCTTGTTCCTGCTACTGCGCTAAAACGATTGCAATTGAACTGTAGTTTTCAATGAGGGCCACCCAAACTCACCCCCGTGACAAGTTAAAGGACAGCTCGGCAGTGTCTACAATACGAGTAGCTGGGAAAATATAAGCAAACACTTGATGGAACAATGTTGAGTGTTATCATTTGAGCCCTCTTAACAAAGCACACAATTTTTGCTATTGTTTTTTTTTCAATCTTCAAAATCCATGACAATATGGTCAAACAACAACAATCGATGGCTTTTAGCAACAGTTGTAGATGAATAAAATGGCTAACATGAGAGGTGAGCTGAATTTGGTTCTGATTCATAGTGAGAAGGAAAGGAGGCAACAGGCAATTTGTAGTTGAACGAGAGATAAAATCTTCTCTTCAAACTTGCCAAAAAGATCGGCGAAACTTTTTAGTGTTCAAGTCTATTATTTCAAAAAACTTGCCTTATTGGTCCTGAATATTCACGATTATACAAGAATTCTAAGCTGATAACTCGAGGGCTGCGCTGTGCTAGAATGTGACCTATATGGTGTTTGTAACGTGACATTGATTTGCTTTTATTATTTGTTATTTTATGGCTAATAACTGGAAAAGTCTCATAGAATATATACAGGTGAATAGGCATTTATATATGTATATAACGAATACAAAAAGCGTAATGATATTTTCGACATGAACTTAGTAGCAGGTGCAAGGGCGTTCTCTATTTGCAGTGTAGAAATGCTGAGTGATCTAAGTGTTGAATAAACATTAATGATTCAGCCGATTTTGATCCGTTTTAATCTATCTAACAATCGAAATTGTAGTTATTCGCAACGCGGCGGCAGTTCAGACTTAACCTTGGCACTTTTTATGACGTCGAGGAGTACCTGTCAATTCTATCCGAGGTCTTAGGCTCGAACTTGTGCAGTGCATAAAAGTTGTTTGACTTTTTGTTTACTCAGGAGACTATTCGTAGAGTCGCGCGCCCACATATTTGTGCACCGGAGAAGAAAAGACGACGAGAAAACAGAGTAGAACGGAAAGAAGAGGAGAAGGATGGAGAATTGATGAAGAATCAGCTTTTCAGCAGTTCGTAAACTTACTTTCTCGAGTGATTTCCATCATGGTCGGTTGGTTACGGCTTTTTGCTGAAGAAAAAGCGAGCAAGCTTGATTCTCGACGACTGAAACAAAAAAACAATTACTCTGCTACTATTTGTCAGACATAGCGCGATGAAATCATGGGTGAGAAGTTCTTGGGTAACGTTTAAAGGAAGAAAAAACGAAAGATGTCTACATTTATACAGGTATGTACAAATGTACGATGAGTTGCGTCTCTGAAGGTTGAAGGGATGCTGAATGACGCGATGCAGATAATCCACGAACGTGTATAGTAAATCGCAGGCGGATGCTTCATAATTACTCGACAAAACCGGAATATTTGGAGCGAAATAAACACGCGAAAAATGCGACGCAACGAAAGCTCAGCACACACACAGCAGCCAAAGCCACGTTCAGTTACTGTCAGTCAACTTTAGGAGTTGACGGAAATGAGGGGCACATTCACATCCCCCGTATCTAGCCGTCAGCGAACTAGTCCTATACGTATACCGCCACGTGCCGTCGAGTCGTAACATAAATCCGGGGACAGCGCTCAGTTTCTGATAAGCAAAAGAACCACTGCGTGAGATTTGAATTCTGGATATAAAACAGACAAACGAGACGGGACCGGAAAGCGTACATGTGTATCGTTACGCAAACATACACAGCACGTACCGGCCCTTTGCGTAAGTGCTGCCAGTGGTGGTGGTTCTTGGAAATAACTGCTGTGACTCGCTTTGACTTTTAAGGTGTTACAGCTTTTCTTAACCTACCTAACCCTAAGTGCGCAAAATTAGTTTCTCGTAGAACATCTTTGAATTCCCTCAAAGAAGCGCAAGAAGTCAAGAAGCGCTTTTCTTTCTGGTGTGACAGACGCATTTGCTATGATTAGATTATGGTTAGGTTCTTACACATTGAATGAATGGAGCTGCAACCCTGTAGGCGGCAAGGGAAAAAGGAGCATGTGAAAAGGTTATGCCGAAAAAATAATCCTTAAGTATGTCGAAATGGAACAGGATCAAATCAACACAAAATATGGTTGCTTTTCCAAAAATATGAGTTAAACTGCAACACAGCTCAATAAATAAAGACAAACACATTCTTACTCATTTTCGTGTCAACTCGCCTTTTATCATTTGTTTCCTTTGTGTTTTTTTCTCATTTCCGACATTTTCCAACATCTACGCAAAGTATAATAGTTGTCTAGTGACTCATCACTATACAAACGCGTTCTGTCAAAATGAGGCTTGAATCAACATAGTAATAAAGCGAAAAGAAAAGAGAAGTGTATGTGACGTAGAAAAAGTCGCAGGATGGCACTATCAACCGTATGGTGTACACAAGAGGAGAAGCCTTTTGCTTACGAATATATTCCTTTTAAGTTCAAATTTGAACTAGGGGGGGGGACGTTCATGAATAGACATAGCGAATATTATATGTTCTCTCCCCAACTGAAATTAAATTTTTCTCTAAATCATCCACTGTGGAATCACGACAGTACTTGCTTAAAGAAATTTATAATTTTGGTTTTGAAACGAAGTAACATTAACGAAACCTCTGTATAGTGGGAAAATCTCTGTCGACATATTCTAAGATGTATTATACTTCTATTGACAAAATTTCTTCGGAAATTTTCGAATATTGCTTGTTTTTCAAAAGTATTAGAGAAAGATCGTTGCGAAAACAAAACCGGATGTGATGACAGAGAGACTTCTATGAGCCTCAGATCCATTGATAACATAATGAGCCATTATGTTCTAATTTAGCTGCTTTCAAAGACTCTAGCTAATTAGGACAGATGGGCAAAGAAAATGCATCTACGATATGGAAGGATTTTCTTAGCAACATCGGGAAATTTGCACAGTGACCTTCAAGAACTGTTTTCGAGCCTTTTCGTACAATAATTAAACTCTCGAAAGCATGCTAATTTGTAGCATAAAAGCTACAGATATACTTCTTTTAGAAGACCTAAATTCTCTTAAATATGATGAGTAGAGTGAGCATTTGCTATGTATTTTGCTTGGAGCTCACTTGCAGCAAGTCAAGCCTTTTATGAGATGTTAGCCGTTTGGATCAGGGAAGAGCAAACTCAGTTCCTCACTTTTGAAGTCTTCTTACAAATATATAGGAACACAAATTTGTGTTGTTTCCAGCACGTATGTGAGTTAGAGCAGCAATTGAAATTTGCAGCTTTGAGTCATTTTCTACGAGGAATCAACTCTTTTTTTAACCGTTAAATAAAGAGTGTTACCTGTAGTGATTTCGCAGATTTAATTGTAGATTATTGGTCCGCCTTTATATATATTCACTAAAACTTTCAATCTTTTCATTTGCTAATGAAAATAGCTACTACTCCCTTTTCTTATGTAAAAAGAAAATTTCTGAACATTACATCCTAAGGAAGGAATGCTATACGCGTTCATATTTCAGTACTCGGGACCAAAACTAGGAAGAGAACGGTGAACGAGGTACCACGAACACTGTGGCATCTAGAAGAGCGAATCAACTGTAGAGGAGAGTAAAGTGCATGTGAACTGGCAAGCAGTTACGTGAGCGTAGAAGTGAATTGCGAACTATGTACCTACTTTTAAGGAGGGTGGGAGGGTGTTGTAGGCCACTCCTACGCAACGTTGAACCGTCCGCAGCCTGGTACAAATGACTCAACGTGGAGTCATGTTGAAAACGTTGAAAACCCTTCTGTATAACGTTTTTCTATAATGTTTGTAGACGAGCGACGAGGAGGTGGATGAAGTGCAGCACATAGGCGAACGTCAAAGAAGCGCGCGACAACACAACGAAAGAGACAGATTTCATAGTTGAGAAAAGAACGAACAACAATGGTTGAGCTGTGTGGTAAAAGGTGAAGTAGCGATGGCAAAAACACCGCACAACACGCAGCAAATGTTCGTGAGTGCAATTAGCACATCAACTCTGAGTCGAGTCTTACTTTGTATGGCGCGAGAACTTATGGGCATGAAGCCGTCGTTCGATTCGGAACCCGATAATGATATCGCTTTTCACATCGTCGATTGACCTCGTTTTGTGCTATTTTTCGTTCGGAAGTGCTTCACACGAATCACTCTCAGGTAAGGCTCGGCACAGGAGGTGGTTTATGAGCAAAGTAGATATCGTTTTTGGGACAAAAAGTGAAAAAGGTATCGTTTTTACACTCGACGTGCTCCGATTTTAGGTAAGGGAACGTAAAATTTTGGAAAGTCAGAGAGAACTTCGTTTTTTTTGCATATCGGAAATCCACCTCGTGCCAGCCCTGCTCTCAGAAGCACATATCACAAATTAGTTAGAGTACAGCGCTTTATCATTAGACAGGTCATAAAGTGCATAACTTTTTTGATAGCTATTTGCCTTTGTACGTTCAAGAAAGTTTAAGGTAAAAGAAAGCAGTCTTTTGTTTCAACTAATTCCATTTCTCAGCAGCTATTTCCAGAAGTTACCAGCTTTGCTTGAACTTGGAGTTTCACAAATGTTCTCAAATTGTAATTCGATTATCACGCGCAAACATACTCAAGCATTATCCAAACTAGTAGAGTTTCAAAAGTGTTTTCTAACTATTTACAAGGCGTATCAATAAAAAGACACTTTTGTCTTACCAACATTCCATACACATTATCCTTTCATCATTTTTAAGTTAAACCTTCCATTTTCACAAATCAAGCAATCGATGGCTATCATTTTTGCATCCCATATGCAGCACTGAATGTTATCAGAAAAACGCAAACCATAAATTCATGCCACAATACGTGGCATATTTTTTTGAAACGGTTTCATTGGCAATGTTACTATCCTGTTGGTGATAGCAGTGTGCAGATTTGCAGTGATCAAAATCATGAAAAATTTGGTTTTTATTTGACTTTGTGTCCTTAGCTATACGAAAACAGTTACGATACGATCATGGATATTGGTTATGCATCAAAAATGGTGTTTTGTTCATTGGAGATTCCAGAAGGGATATTTGGATTCGTTTAGGCTGGAAAAGCCGTGCACATCCCTAAATGTCACTAGAAGTTTTATATCATTGCTGTTAGTTATTCAGGACAAGAAGCAAATACCTAAGATCTAGTAGATGAGCCGGCTTTTTCAGAGGCTTAGATTTGCTTCAGAATCATGTAGAGCATTGCAAGAATGTAGGAGTTCCTGTGAATTAGTCGGGAAGTCTGGAACAGCTCTTTCCAAAGATGCAAAAATCGTTTAGAAAATTTTTTTGGTGTGATCTCCGAAATAGCATCACGCCACTGCTGACGCAGACCTTTTCTTCCACACCCTTCGTGCAGTTAGCCGTACATCGACAACTTTTTTCAAAAAGAGAAATTTGAAAGAGCTTTTCAAGAGCTTCCTACAAATACACAGCAAGTCCCACACTCTTGCGATTTCATGGGAATCAAATGATTTTAGAGGTTGAAATCCAAGCATTTATCTGCAGCCAGACTCATCAGCAAGATTTCAGAAATAAAGCTAAGATATCTCGCAAACTGCTTTGCCATTTTGATGGATGTAACGAGAGAATGTCTTCCAAAATGTGGTATCGTTGAAACATTTCGTATCGTCTCAGCCTAGCAAGGGAGCTTCGACCTAAGAAGAATTGCTAGCCTTTTCGCAGGATTTTGTTCAACATCACAGAAGTTTAAGCGTCTGAAATGGGGATTTTTGCAGGATTCTAACATCCTACTGATTGAAGCGATAACTTCCGCAGTGCTTTCCACTGAGAGTTGCGGCAGGTTCGTTCTCTGAATGTCTAGCGGAAATTCCGGTCAATTTTTTGAGGTAGCGTTTCATATAATCGCTTACGGGATCGGCTGAAGCTGCATCAACAGGATTAGAGCGGAGCATTGCGATGACTTTGATCAAGGAGCAAATCTTCTACTCAGACCGCGTATAGCTAACCTGTCCTGCGATAAGTCCAACCACGGGGCATGAAGGTGACTATCAACGAGATCGGAATAGTAGTCGTGAATATCCTCCATCACAGCACACGCAGGGAGGAGCTCGCTCGAAAGTAGAGTGCCACCGAGAAGATGATTGAAACCACTGAAATCACAGGAAGATCGCGGTGGCTTTTCTAGAGCTGTTTGTCTGACCACATTTTTCTTTACCTCTTCGCACAAGTCGACGATATTGCACGTTAGCAGAGACTGAGATACAATACGTGGAATCCTTGAGCTGGATTTGTTGCGAACAAGTATTTTGAGTGACACTTTGAACAAGTTTAGATCTGAGCAAAAAAAGTTCGATGAGTTCCTTGATAAGAACACATTGACGGCTGGTATGCCCAATATTTACCTCTATCGAGGAAAATTCGTGTACTTGTGATATATGCTGGCAGTTTTTGTGTTGCAAAAATGAAGAGTCAAGAAGGACTTTCAACAGGTCGAACTATGTTTAGAACAGAAATTTTCTTTTGTAGCCTCCACGATAGAGATATGTCTCCACTTTTAATCACGGAAGGGTTGCAGCTTACGATATATGTCACCAGTGGCGTACCCAGGATTTCGGCTCAGGCGGAGGGGGAATGGCGACAGAAATTTTTTTTCTATGAAAGTGCGTGGCGTTAGCCACGCACCCAGAAAAATTTTTCGGTACGCTTCTCAAAATTTTCGTGTACCCAAAACCCCAGAATTTTATAAAAAGGGGACGTGGCGTCAGCCACGCCCCGAAAAAAATTTTTTTATAAGGCTAAATTAAATTTATAAAAAAATTTTAAAAATTATTTTAATTACTTTTAAGTGTAAATAAGTCTCTTGCACATTTTTATGATTCATGTAAGTAACTTTCAAAAATTTCGAGACTCTCCCCCTCGATATGCCACTGTATGTCACATATGGTCAAATTAATAACATTCCGTTTTAGGTGTTATCACAAAACTGCCCTTGTATTGTTGTAACTCGTCCCTGATAACTAATATGATGACAATTAGTATCCTCCCGTTTTCTTACGAAATCCTAGTATGAGACCCGAAGTTTATAAGGTTTTTAGGTACAGACGAAAAAAGTGCACTAAGACCTCATCTAACTCTCCAGGTTTTTTCGTGTTTTTGTCAGAAAAAAACATTATCTGAATATTATCTATTCTCCAATCGAATGCGAATGTTCAGGACAGCTATAGAACCACCCAATTGTAAGCAATCTTGTTGTACTCATAGAAACTCTGGCATGTTGTACATGTGTTGCTTAAAGTGCTTTCTGTTTGTGTTACTCCTACACAACACGACTCATAGGAGTATTGAAGCTGTAACATGTAAGTTTGTACAGTTTTAGTTCCGTTTGCTAAATCTCTACTCCATGGTTTTGTAAATACATAACAATAGAGAGCTCAAGCGCTGTAAGAGATCCTTCGATGCCGAGGTAAATATCTCAGTCATTCAATCCCAGGCTTTCACTACCATTCGAAAACGTTGTTGGCAAGCTCGAAGAAAGTTCAAACTAATGTTATTTTCGGATAACATTTGGCATCCATAATGTTTGGAAATTATCAAATCAGTGAACTTTGTACCTATTGAAAACGTGCTCAACGCTTCACCAATACCGATTACCTACGATTTTTGTCATTTGTGAGTGGGCTATGAGAGGCGGGGTTACAACTTCCTCATTTCCTGAATCATCGTTTGTCTCCACATTTGACGTTGACTTATGTTAGTTGCGGCGTGCAATATCGTATCTTGATTCATAGATCATGTCTTATGACTCACTTTCTTCCAGGCAGCACAGTATATGTACACAGGGTTTTTTGAATTCTCAGCGAAAAAATGGATAATATTAGGTCGTCCCAAAAGTTCTTGCGCACGATTTTCAAAAATTTGTAACTTTGCGCTCTTTCAACGGATTTGCTTGCCTATAATTTTATTAGAAAGTAAGCCTTTCGCTTTCAAATGCTTTTTTGCGGAGCTTCTGACATTGGATGCGGAGATAAAAATGGAAAACTAAGACCTTATGAGCTTTGACCATTTTGAGTTAGGTCACCAAAAATCGGAAACGCTGCAGAAAAATCTGAAATCGTCAGTACTTATGTTTTTTGGCCTACTCTTTGCAATTGTGAAAAGTTTGTACTGTTTGGACGTCTCTGTGGGAAGTTATGATTTTCAAATTGACAAATTAATTGATTTTGGCGTTTTCCATAGTAAACTCGACATTCATAACTTCTCACAGAGACATCCAAACAGCGCAATTCTTTCACAGCTGCAAAGTGTAGGTCAAAAAACATATGTACTGACGATTTCAGATTTTTCTGCAGCATTTCAGATTTTTGGTGAACTAACTTAAAATGGTCAAAGTTTAAAGGGTCTTAGTTTTCCATTTATATCTCCGCACCCAATGTAAAGCAGAAGCTCCGCAAAACAGCGTTTGAAAGCGAAAGACTTATTCTTTCTAATAAAATTATAGGCAAGTAAATCCGTTGAAAGAGCGCAAAGTTACAAATTTTTGAAAATCGTGCGCAAGAACTTTCGGGACGACCTAATAAATCCGAAAACTGGGGCTCGAATTCCAAAAGGCTATTTGGATGGTTTGTTCGACTCTCTAGAGATTCGGATAAATCATTCAAATATTCAAATATTAGGTTGTAAAGAAAGTTCTGCCAATAGGCGCTGAGCTAAATTGTTTATTTATATCTTCATCATGAATGGCTGTCATTTAGCGATATTTTGGTCAAGTGTACTGACATCCTCAGACTACTAATTAGGTTGTCATAGATGCTCTTTTTCTAAAAGCGCGCTGGCTGCGTTCCAAAACATGTGGACAGTTCGGTTTCATAAATCCTGATTTCAATGAGTTATTTTTTGCTTGCAAAAAGAAATTGTCTGATAATGCTTCACCTAGCTAGCACATCGGATATGAAACGGATTTTCAAATCAAGCTTCTGGACGTTTTGCGCGTCTATAATCTGGAAAATGCACCTTTTCCCAGACCTGAGTGCAACAGATTTTTCTCCTTTTCTGAGCATTTAGCGTGTTAGGTAGTTAGAGCCATCGCGCACTAAGAACACATTTCAAACCAGCCCTTTGCATTCGCATTCATTTTAGGTATTTACGAGAAGTTGACAGAACTTTCTTTACAACCTTATAGTTGAATGATTTATCCGAGAGTTTGAGGAACTTTACGCCTAAAAGACACGTTATTGAGCGCTTTTACCAATTTTTTCCCTGAGGCCTGAAAATTTTTGTAGTGCTACCCGTGGATTGCACATCAAACACAGTAATGATCACTTGTGGTGTGAGTACGATGCTGTTCAAGGATGCAACTGCAAGCGAATACATTGCCGGCTAGTATTTTCATAGGCAAAACATCCACTTTTCTTCCGACCAAAAGAAAGACAGAGCGTCCAATTTAAATCTCTACACTTCTCAAAGCTCCCTGCATCCTTTCAGGCCCGAGAATTTCTTTCTCGACAGCCACGACGCTTCATCTCGATGCACTTAGATGAGGAGGTTCTTCCCCCCCCCCAAGGTGTTCAGCCCAGACGCTCAAGAGTTGTGCGGCTCCAAGATACCAGACTCCATCGTCACCACACTACGGCCATGAAACATAAGATGGGGAAGCTGTGTAACGGCGCATGCTTCGCTCTTGACGCTGTAGTACTATTTTCTGACGATCGCCAGTCGCTGTGTCGCGCTACGGTCGCGAATAAATTAGGATTTCCAATGCTTGTTCACTTTCTCCTCGTCGACATGACCGCAAAGGCCGCATGTTGTCAAAGACCCAACGGTCCTCCAGATAGCAGACTCTCGTCTCTTTCCTATGCACAGGTCCGATCAGTCGAGTCACACTTGTAAGAGGAGTAGCTTATCAACACGATCGCTGCATTTCCCAGGTCTCATAGACCAATTTCTCGCAACATCACCGCTATGCTAAGTTCCACGAAGAAGAATTAGTAATCGACATTTGTCTACGCCTTCAGAAGCCGTTGGCAACGTAATTTCACGATATAACCTTATGATTTAGCGTCTACGAATAGCTTGTCCCTTCAGCATGCTGTGGAAGAAGCCGCCTACGACGTTCGAGCGCTTTGTGCCAGTGCCACGATCCGGGTTTCTTCGATCCCGCTGGAAAACCTTTTCATTCCATACTTGTTAACCCCCCGAGTTTGAGTAAAGCACGAATAGTCTTGCAACAGCATTCACAGTGAGCGGCTCCCAATGGCAGTAATGCAATGCTTTTAACATCAGTAAACCGATAATGGGCGTTTTGACAGCTGCATCTTCTGCGGCAACCTCTCCCTTGATTGTCACCGCATCTATGAACACCACAATGTGGACACACTTTGATATATGGAGCTACAAAGATTTGGTTATGGTATGCTATCTCGCTCGTTCACAGTCCATCTACAATCTCACCGTGGTGAACCTTAATAGTGCTCGATATCTATAGAACGATGGCGGAGAGAGGCTGAAATAATTCCCTTCTATCTACAAGATGGTTAGTTTCCCTTTCTTTTCCTACTGCATTACCCATTTCTTTGAAGTTCGGAATGGACTTAAATGGGGGAGGTATAAGAGCAGTGTTTTTTGTAGTAGAAAGTCATTGTCTCACAGTGTTGGGTTTATAGGATGCCATCGTTCATGTTATGAGACCAGCGGTTCCCATGCCCTCAGCGGGTCGAGCTCTGATAGCGCAAGGATATAGAACAAGTCGCATAAGGAGAACTCGAGGTCATTGCACGACGGACGTCCCAACGACTAGCTCCTCGTCACCCAGGTTGGCCTCCTACCCGCCGTTGCCATGATGGTTCGCGATCCCGTCCGATGTCGAACACTCCTGTGAAATGCTACTGAAGTGATTGGCTAAAGTTATTTCTATTCTTTGTTGTCCCGTGACAGTAATAAAGCTGCTTCCACTGCAAACACTATTACTCTATGAGTGGTTCAGTTCCCGCCAAGGTTGGAGATACAGAATCTTTGCGAAACCTATGGTCATAACATTGCCGCCTCCGACGATGGGAGAGGAAGCGTGAGTTCGTCGTAAGCTTTGTATTAGGTTGGTGCAAAATGCGCGTTCGAGTTCTCACTTTAACGTATTATAACTTTTTGAAAAATCTACATTTTTCAACACGGTAGAAAACATTAGAAGCGCCAATCCTTTCAGTACAATACAATGCAAAACAGCGCTTACCCCCTTATACTCGTATCATCAACGGGCAGAAAAAATATGGATCAATAAGGAAAATTTTTTTTCTGAAACTTCGTCTTTATATGATCATAATTTTTTTCAAAATTTGTTAGTAAAGATAATA